CAATCTAGAATGGTGTGTTCATAGATTTAACAAGTAGAAATCATTAAGAACGAAAAGAGTTTGAGTCATCACAAGGCATCGTAAGTACTAGCGTTGTCTTACTTATCCTAAAAATTGGTTCACATGTTAATCGCAATTAACAAGTACTACTCTAGAACATATGTAGGTCCTCATTTGACAAGGGCAGGCACACACATATATTCATGGCATTAGAATCCTAGATATGCTTACTAAGTATGCATCCGTAGAAAACACATAAAGAATTCATCAATGAGACAAGTAGTGAACCAATTTTCATCCATTCATAAAAGTAATTGAAACGAAATGTCATAACAAACTTGCAATCATATTTGGGGCTTCAAAACAGCCCCTAACTACTAAAAATTTGGTTACACAATCCTTAAGTTAAAACAGAAGATAGACATGAGTTTGAGAAAATAGAACCGAAAGAAATCGACTAAGGCTTCTCCTCCCTTCCTTCCCCAATGCTACTTTTGAACCAATTCTTGCTGCATCATTTTCTTCTCCTTAACTCACCCACTAATAGCCATTTAGTGATGACAATAAGTGAGAGGAAATGTAAAACAATTGTAACTCCTTGGGTAGCCTTTATGCCAATTACTCCCTCTTAATCCTCATCTTTAATTCCATTTCCTCTGATATTTGAATAGGTGTCAGCTGGTTTGTTCTTGATTGCATCAGTTTTGGCTACTAGATTTATTGGATTTATTGCTTTCAATGCTTTCTTGTCAGTTACAAACTGCTTAGCCTCTTGGAAACCTTTCAGTATTAAAACGGCCATAACTTCTTCTAGAAAAATGATATTAACAATCCACGAAATGCTCCAGAAAATAGACATCCGTAGCTTTCCAAGCATATAAGGCTCATTCTCTAATTCATTCTGAGCTGTCCGCAACTTGCTTCCAAAGTCAGCTGACCTGCACAGGCAGTTTTGACGAATTTGTTACTTAAAATTCCACTTGTGCTATTTTTCTTTTCTTTACTTGACAAATCCTACAAAACACAAAAACAAAGTAAATAGCTCAAAAATATAAGGAACTAACTAAGAAAAGACAAGTGAATTTGATGTAAAATTTATATAAATAAGAGCTTATCACCAGGTTATGTTCCACTAAATATATTACACTAAAGTTTTCTGATTGGATAAGTTGACTTGGGTTACAATGATATAGCTTTTCAGTTTATTGATTTATGGTTCAATTTCAATGAAAACAGCGTGACTCGAAACTACTTTGAAAATTTAGTTCGAGCTCTGGAGAATGGTCTATCAGACGTGGATTCCCATGGTACCTGCAGCAGGACAGTAAGCTCAAAGAGTTTGGGAGGTTCAAGTAAGGGAAGAGGTGGGAGGGGCAAGGCTGCAACATCCAGGTCAAGTAGTTCCAGTAGAAACATTGACGATTTAGGCCACTGGTCCTGTGAACATTGCACCTTTGCAAATGTCAGGCCGGCCAGTGTGTGCCAGATGTGTCAACAGCGCCGGTAACTTGTTTCCTATGCAAATTGGCCTAATTGGTTGTGGAGGCCTTTGTTTTGCCTCTTTGGCTGGCAGATTGCAGCGGAGAAATAGCGTGGCGGGTTGCGAGGGAAGGGTTACTTACCTTTAGAATTGCCAGTGCGAGGAGGATGCAGAAAATATCAAGGGTCGGAGGAAGAGACTGTCTTGCTTGTGTATTGGAACATGAGCTGTATATAGTTCCTGTTGTTTGTCTAGCATTTCTGTGGCTGTCTTGATTCATGCAAATGCAAATGCCTTGGACCTGTAATTTTCATGTCATTAATCAGTTGCTGATAAAATTGTAGCAAAGTTGGAATCTTTAAAAAAGTGGGTGGTGGTGGTTGTAACTTGTAAGAGGAAACTAGTCGCGGGGGGACTGGTAATTGAATTGGACCCTGCTGCACCTGCACAAGTTGAATAAGTTATGTACTAATTATCTTCCTCTTTTTTCTCATCTTGAAAGCAAATGAACGACCGATGTCCCTTTCGGGTTTCCTTTTGCCCCAATTCCCCTCCCTGAATTTCTATGAATGGCACTGCTGCTACTCTTTAAATTCCATTGTTCTCTGTTATCATTGTGCAAGTGAAAGCCAAATATAGGACTATTCAGATTTATCGGCTTTGTTGTAACTGAATTCAGATTAACAGACGGTGCAAGAATCTCTAATCTTCACGTATCAAATAGTATTGACAAGGCTAATTCTTGAGCAGGTTCACGTAACATACAAGATGCAAAAGAAAGATGAATTGCAAATCCCACATCGGTAGCAAGCAAGATACAAAAAGAACAAAAGTATCCCTTGCGTAGTGTAGATTAGCTAGGTAGGGGCCTAGGGCTGCCTGCTTTCCCAACACAATTTCTCAAATCGCAGGTACAAGTCGTCTCCAACCCCATACGTACAAATGCATTTGCCATGGCAGACGTTTAAGGCTCAAAGCATCAATTTTCCAGTTGTTTTGTTTCGTCACCTGACCCAAACCCAAGTTTGCATGAATGACTCCGCCCTAATCTGGTTACCAGCGAGTAACAAGGAATGCCGATACAACATGAAGAAATGTGAGACAAATTTCGCTTCCTGCAATGCGCATGTGGTATTTATACACTCCTGGTTTTGTAGGCAGTATAAGCCAACAGTAGTGGAATTGTTAGGCTATATCCTGGAAAATGGAGAACGGTATTCATCTCATATGCTTTGACGAGAGTCCTGCAATTCTGCAATCCAGAGACAAACGAAACATAGCAACCAAAGTAAAACATACATTAGTACAATATGCGATCACAAAGAAAACACAAGATGCATCTTGATTTGTTCCCTCATACTAATTACTTCAAAACGGTTCCCAGGACGACAGAAGAAAAGAATTTAGTTTGGAGACCCCGCAACATTTCAGAATGGTGTTGCAAGGTTCCAAACACTTCTCTTGCCTCCATTATCTTAAGAAGTCTGGAAAAGTATTCACATATTTATGACATGTATGTCAAGCAGAAATGGGGCAGTGAAAGAAACCTTACCATAAAATGCTTCCAACAAACTGCCAAGCAAAGAACTAAAAGTACATTCCGAATCCACCGGTTTCCAACATGGAAATTTGATTTCCTGCTACCTGAGTAATCATACCATAAAGATCTCCTTTCCTCTTGACCGCAGTCATCTTCTTTCTTCCCTGTAAACGAGAGAAAATGTTCTCTGGAGACTTGTTTTCAGTAGCCAAAGCCGCAGTCAGCATAAGAGCAGGAAAAACCAGAAAGAGGAGATGTGGATGAACCACCACCATAACATCTGGCGATCCAACGTACTCGTGTTTTCCGTTTTGATTGAAAGATTTAACTATCCACCCCATATAGGTCATGTATCCTTCATCCTTTCCGTCTGTGAAAACTTGCCCAATAAACCAGGGGAATAATATAAGGTAGAATAAGTATCCTAAGAAACCAAACCATGCTACGGGAAGCTTGCAGAGCTGAAAAACCAATCGTATAGCATTTACAAAGCCCTTATTCTTGTTAGTGAAATGTCTTAACTGAGAAAATAAGGATAGCTTGTGGAATAAGGAGAACAGAGGGTATGAAATATACAGCACACCAGAGCATTGGGTAATACAAGGCAGCCCATTGACAACCCATGACCATAAATTCCTTCCAAGTCCAAGAAATCGTAGTAGTAAGCCCATTAACAGAAAACGGCCTTAAATCAGATAACGTTGATCTGCCCATCAAGTCTGTTGATTCTATTTGCAACCAGTATCTGTAAGGGACTGGATCCTCAAAGGCTCTATGATTCCATGGAGTAACAAAATGATCTCCCCTGGAGTTATTATCCCCAATCATGTGCATGGGTGCCTCAAAGACCAGATTGAGAATCCAGGTCTTGAGTCATAGATCTTAGTCGTAACTGATGCAATTGGAGAAACAGAAAACACCAGGGCTCTAACTGTGCCGTAAGATAAAGGGACCATATCATGACATTCATAATCGTGATGGGTTGAAGATGTTGACATGAACTGTGAGTCCCACTGTGAGAATGATAGAGGAAAATGCCCGAAGGAAATCTTGCTTAATGGTTCTTGTGATCTAGAGTCCCACTGTGAGAGGTGCGTATCCAGTTGTGCTAATAGTTGATCAGTTGGATGCGCAAAGAGATTAGTCGGACCTCGTAAACCAACAGGCATTGTGCTATCAACTCCAACAAAGAGATGCTTCCGATCAGCAGTCTGGATGGAAATAAAAGGTGTAAAGCTTTTGAATTCACACACACTTGAGGGCATGGTAGCATCTGTAATCAAAGCATGGGAATTGGGAACGTACAATTAAAGTTGAACTCAATGTCAGGTAAACTTAGCACACAACGATAAGGCAGCTCTGACACTGAAAGTCTGAAAGTGAGAGGAATAATACCTGAAGAGTGACACTGTTGACATTCCGACTTCTGCCCAAGTGGCCACTAATGCTGTACTTTGAAAAGAAATCAAAGGAGCCGCCGAGCTGTGGGACGCCAAAGTTGTCGTGATTTCCTCTGAGATCAAAGAAGAGGGTCTTGTCAAGTCGACTCCTTTTGATGACGTCTTGCATGACGGTGTGGTATTCCAGCCACTCGTCCTCATTTTGCTTCATTGTCAACAAATCCTTGCTTTTTCCATCTGATTAATAATTATATATGAAAATCCAAATATAAGTATGCACTGATCAAAACTATGCCTGTGAGCCTGTGACTGCGAGATTATTGTGATGATTCACTAAATATGTTTCATGTCATCCATCATCCAGTAAAGGGTCGTTGGATGTCAGATTACTCGGCTTGTTAAATAAATTCATTTGCAGTTTGCTTTCTTTTCTTCATTTCATTTGGTTAATGGATGATTGATATGAACAATTTGATCAAATATAGCAAGCCTCACTCACTCTGGTTTGAGTATCAACTTTGCCATGGAATCAATTAGGCTCCACCTCACTCTCCAAAATGGGTTTGTGTTTATGTTGCAGTTTTTGCACTCCCCACCATCATATTCGGAATGGTTTACATAACTACATAAGAATCAAACTCACCTAAACCACCTTAACAATCCTTAACCTTTGAGTGATCATCATTACTGTTCAAATTGAAGGCTTGTGTACTAACAATCTCATTTTCTCTTCTTTCCATCATTCTAGTTCATGGCCTCTCGAACGGGAACTGCACCAGCACTAGAGAATCAAATCCCTGAAAGATCATATACAACTCCTGCAACTTGTCTGATCCACAACTGTTGCAGTGAACCAACTTTCAAGATCCAAACTTCAAACATTCGCATAAAGTCTGTGCCCTTCCCTTCCCCCCAAAGGCGGTATACGTATTTTTAGGTCACTGAAAATTTGTTTTCCTTTATGCTATATCTGACTGAGCTTTTGCATTTTCATTCTGCTTTGTTGTTGTTTACAGAATAAAGTCAACTGCATTATATCTGTATATGAACGGATGACTTGACATTTCTCCTATTTCTATGAATACCTTAATAATTAGTGGAATCCCTGAACCATTCTAAATAGCGTGAGTTGCATGCATCCTTGCTGCATAGACCTGCTTCTGTTGTTCTAGCATTCTTTCTTGGATTTCCTCTTTTTGCTCTGCTGTGTCCCTACCTATTTCCAAGCTCCAGAAAATTATTATGTGGAATGATGCCCAAATTTGCTGCAGATCTTCCAAGATCCTGCCTTCACTAAGACCAGGTTTGCCTCTCATCCTGTGGCCACTGACCATAGACGTAATGGACCTTGAATGGATCAAAATAGATTCTGCTTAGGCCACTTACAGAGAATGATTTCAGTCATTTTGGACTTTTTGTTGGCAGTCAACAGTTGATACAAACAGGCCTTTTCTTTTTGGTTTAGTTCACAATAATATATATCCACGTCAGTCGTCAAATAAAAGTCCTGCAAACTGTATTTAGGAGTTATACTGATGCCTTCTTCTTTCATGAGAATATGTTGATGCCCTTCTTAACATGCTTATTTTTGGTATGCTGACACAGTTTTCAGTCAACAAGACAACGGGAGCCCTTGCCTTGGACACAGGTGGGATTCCTGATAACGGTGGGCAAGAGGGCATCAATGGCAACAACTCTAATCTCAATGCCACCCGATTGGGTCGGATAGTGACTGCAGGTGGAAGACAGCTATTGGAGAAGCTGAATTTAGCTAGGAGAAAGTTCCCATGAAAGTATTTCTTCTTCTTTTGGGTTTCTACACGGCAAATGCATTGGCTACAATCCTTGGGCAGACTGGGGATTGGGATGTTCTGGTTGCGGGTGTAGTGGTATGCTTATGTATAGAAAGCCCCCCTCTCAATCAAGTGGGAGGCTCAAGTCTTTTGTCATGATGGTAAATTACTGGAAAGCCGGTGTGTGCTTAGGTCTCTTTGTGGATGCTTTTAAATTGGGTATGGTTCTACCGACCTCAAGTCTGGAAGATGGAGATTTAGTACTAAACTCGTGTTTTTAAGTTTTAACACCCTTGATCCGTCGGTAGGTTGTCCGGTCCAGATCCACGTTTATCCTAAGATGACCAATCTCAACTAAATTTTTGCAAATAAATGTATGCCCTGTCTTACTAAATGTACAAAGGCACTGTCTTACTAAATAAACAAATTTCTCTCATCTTTTTACATGTTGAATTTCTTGAATTATGCCTCCGGAGGATGGGATCATAAGAAGTTTTCCCCCTAATGACCGCCAGTTTCGGTATCGCCAGTTTCAGGGGTGGTGGCGATGACAATGGTAGTGGCGGGAATTGGATCAGAATGAATGGTATAACTTCACCCCCATAGTGCACAGAATTATGGCTTAGCCTCTGAACTCTAGCATGCTACATTCTACACTCGTGCCAAGTGACAACCATACGAGCATTCATATACAGGGTTGGCTAATTGTAACAAAACACAGCTAAACTCGTACTTAAGATTTCGAAGTAATACTTCTTCCGCAAAATGAAATAAAATTATAAAACTAATCTGCACATATTCAACGTACATTAGAATGCCGGGCCTATCCGAGGCTACGACAATTTTTCCCTTCAGATTCAAGCTCCTTGACATTGTCAACAACATGCTGAAGTTTCTTCGACAGGTCTTGCGTATGTTCCTCAATGTGATTAAATAGAAGATCAACTATTTCTCTAAGTGCAGCAGACCGCTTTCTCTCAAGGAACAGCTCGTTAGTTAACTCTGCAATCTTTGTCTTATCGTCCTACAAACACATGACAGAATGAAAAAGAAAAGAAGCATAAGATCAATGAAATTCAGGTCACACTAACGCGGTACAAGATGTAATGTCAGATTCTAGGCCTGTTAACTAATGTAATTCTTAAACAAAATCCTAAGAAATATGTCATTGAGCAACATGTGCAGTCGCGCAGATATAGTAAGAGCTCTGTAGCCACCAAAAATCCCATTTAATTGACAAAATTAAGTTGCAGTACCCCGATATAAGATTGTTTCCGAGTCTAATATTAACATATGCATGACGCAAAACAAAAAAATTTCTTAGAACAAATTGAAGTCAATAAAAACTGTAAAAGATCATGATAACTTACCAGTACTTGATCATCGATGAGTCCTTTTGGAGCTTTATTGGGAGTCAATGCATGAGTGTGCTCCTTAACGAACCATTTAACAACCCAGTTCCCAACACTGAGTTTCTTGATGGACAGCATTGCCCTACAACCTACCCTAGTCTGAGTCCGAGGCTTTAGTGTCTTCTTGTCACGCCTGTCAGGCTTTCGGAAACCCTCTTTGTTGCATACCAATGTCCTCCCAATGACGGTTCCATCATGTTTGGATCGATACATATCGTTCATACGAGTAACGAAACCCATACGTGTGGCATAGGCATTATAAAATGCCAACGCACTTTCTTGTGAGTCGAATTCCTGACCCACATACGGCTCATGTGGTTGGACCAGACTTGATCCATCTTTACAAGAATTTCGAGTCCTTTGATCATCATCATGATCCTGTCCAAAAAGATGACTCATATCTACAAGAGAAGTTCCTACAGATGCACCATCAGATTCACTACAATAAACAAATATTTACATCAAGTTGAGAACAAATTATAATCCACCGCAACATAAATTCAATTCATGGAACCCTAAGTATCCATTCCTGCTGCTAGTCTCCTATACATGATCACTATCTGTGGAATTCCCAAATCCGAATTCATATATTATCTAATAATATCTAAGCAGATTTAATTTTAATTTTAATTTTAATTTTAAAGCATTGGGAGGATGAAGCTGAAACAACACATTTACACGAGTTAAAAGAAACGAATTTCCATATTATTCCATGATTCTAGCCAAGAAATACTAAGATTCCCAAGACTAATCACAATCGCACCCAGAAACTCAAAGGAAATTGCAAGACCCAGTTGAATTCAATTGACAGAAAATCAACAAGGAACCCTAAGTAATTGAATTTCAAACTTACTGAGTCATTGAAGTTTTCTATAAAACCCGAAATGCTGGCACAGTGGCAGTGGCGGCTAAGATGCACACAGACAGCAACCGTGTTTGTTTAAAGCGCCAAGCTCAGGCCTTGCGCGATACGGAACTGGAAGAGGTTTTCCGGAATTTCATAGAAATAAAAAAATAAAATAAAGTTCCAGACTAAATGTTTTTTTTTATTATTTTTAAACAAACGATAATATCTACAAAATGGGAGTTGATTTAATCTCATAATAGATTAGTAACAATGTGGTTTAAATTTGCTTTTGATGAAAATCGAACTTGAAGCCTCACTTACGAGTAAAATGGAACCCAACCAGACAATATTATTAAGTGGTTCCAACCTAAATGTTGTTCACAAATTTTTTTATTGTTTCAAGAAAGGGAGTTTTAACGAATATTTCCGATATTGTTCATTTTTAACTAAAATGACATTTTTGCTTTAAAAAGTCACTTATAGTACTATTCACTTACAATATCTTTTTGTCATTTTAATTAAAACTTAAAATTTTCAAATCATTTTCATTAGTTTTCTTTTCAATTAACTGGTAAACCCACTTTTACATTTCATGTTACGTTTTCTTAATACTCGTGCCAAATATTTTGTGAAATCACAGAATTGATGTCATAAACTTCTACAAAAATTATGAAGATTACTCTTCATAAATCTTTTTTATTTTTTTATTTTAAACTACTAATAAATGTGACTTCAAAACTTTAAAATTTGGACAAAAAGAATTCAATGAACTTTCATCAACTATAAGGACAAAAACTGACCAACATGCTTGACCCATTCAAACAATTTTACTCATACGCCCCTAACGCCTTCGGCCTTTGCCCGTTCATTTTCGAACGTCTCACAGAATTTTCCCATTTTGCTTCAAATGGCTTATAACGTTTTTCTTAATGTTTATTCAAAATATTTGGAAAAAACCACAAATGTGAGATCAAATTTACTGTTGAACCAACGGATAAATAACATAACAAGAAAATTTAAGGAGGCAATAATTGTGAGAGATCAAAATTACAAATTTTACAATATAGTGCATTTCTAGAAAACAAAACGCAGACTAGGTAGTGACTAGTGGATATTTAAACAGGAGACTGTTAGTTATGTGCATGTGAAATTTTTGTTGAGTACGTTTGTTCCTCGATATTGAATTTGAATAGGTTGTTGAGTTATATGCTTGATTTCCATCTCTCTTTATTCTGCAACTAAATTAAATACAATGCATTGTTATATAACTTATAACCAAAACCAAACCATATAAATCAATGTAAGATAATCGAATAGACGGCTTTCCGCAATTAAGTAAATTGTGTCGTTAATGATCGATGTTCACCATCACATAGTAAGTAGTTCACAGATTGAAACTCACATAGATTCTTGTGGAATTGCACGACAAAACTCCAAAAACACATCTTACTTAGGTGCTGGACAAATGACTGGTGCCAAACATAGCTTTGATAAGGCTAACACTTTTGACTGCACTTCTCACGTACGTTCCAATCCTCAGTTTCTTGATGGATACCGTACCACTGCCTTACAGCCAACACGAGCAATGATAAAGCCATCCAACCTTGAACGACTGAACGAGATAGATTACTCACAACAACTTACGCGTTCTGAAACCTCTTCTTGCTGCGTAGAACGCTTTGTAAAATGCATGCATGTGCATCTGCTGTGGTTTCAAATTCCTCGCCAGCATCTGCGCGATTAGCATTTTGCTCCACTCTTGAACAATTTTGAGCTGTTGCTTCCTGAATTTGCACAAGACTAGAAGCCTCCTAAATGTCCTCATCCTCAACGCAAGTTGCTAGAATTGCACCATCCAGCCATCCATTCATCTCCATGTTTTGAAATTCACACTCTCACTTTCAATTTCCTTCGTATCAAGTTAAAGAACAAGCACATATGAGAGTGGGGGCCGGATTAATCAGCTAACCCGGCCCACATAGATCCTTTCTCTTCATCAATCAAGTTGATCATCAGCCCTGCCTTGACATCCCACGAGCCTGTCTGTGGGTTCCTCCGATTTTGGGCCTCCCCTCCTCACTAGACTACTCTTGGTTTTTTGTTTTTTTGGTCAACATACCACCATTTTTTCTTCAATACACATCTTATTTCAATAAAAAAGAAAAACATACACATTTGATTAGTAACCGTTTGATCAAAATGAAGAATAACTTAAGTTATAACCGGTTGAATAAACCCGAATTGCGAAGTGCATATAGGATAAAGTTTGAGATCCCGCGAAAATTGTCCCAAACACACTAATCCTTCAGCCAAATGCAAATCCAGATTCCAGATGCACGTATTGGAGATTTTAGAATTCAGAAAGGGAAGTCCAATGTAAAAACTTTTATTTCTCTCCAATGTACAGATACATATGTTCAAATTACGTACAACCAAGAAAAACATGAAATTTGTTTTGCTTTTAGTGATATTTATTCACCTGATATTGCTCTGATTTAGTGAACCACCATGTGAGTGAAGATGGTTGCATCGCCGTGCCATCCCATCATGCATCACTGTTGCAGCTAAACAAGTCATGCAGAGAGAGAAGTGGGAATGGAAGAGGGAAAATCACACCCCTATTTTCTCCGCCTTTACGGCTTTACCTGCTGCTTATCTATTATTTGTCATTTTGTCACCCTCCCGTCCGCGATACAGTAAAAATGGGTTAATTATGTATAAAAATAAATTTCATATTGTAATAAGTTATGATTTTTAAGTCCGTGTTAAGAAAACTCGCCTTCATATAGTAAAAACTAAACATATGCTACGTCACAAATAAAAAATTAAGATAAACTAAAATATTTCTTTAAAGTTATTTGGGACAATACGTTATTTTTTAGAGTTGTACCACATATTTGAGCTTGTGGGTATATAATACATTTTCAACATGTATAACTTCTTATTGAAGCCAAAATACTTTTAGTTTCTCAAGCAACAAAGAAGGATGCCCGGTTTGGTACCCTTAGTCTAAGATTAGACAAAGAGCAAGGAGGATATGAAGCACTGCCGGGTAGACCATGGCTCCAACCGGGGTGGTTCATGACTGGGCTAATAAAAAGCAATCTCAAGCAAGGAAACATGGGATGGAAGGCGGAAACAGCTTGGCTTTGTTACATAGAAAAAGGACTAAGGAAATTGAGTTTCCATAGTGGCGATGGTGGCGTTAGTTGACCTGGTTGAAAAATATAGAATATATTCTGCTAGCCAAATCACACTAGTGCGATTCATTTGCCCTACTATCCTATGGAGCAATTCAAACTCTTAGTAAG